CGAACAGCAGCGGCTCGATAATCATGCCGGGCAACTGCAAACAAAGAGCCATCAGATAATGATGATGATGATGATGAGGGCAGCTCACCATGGCCAAAATGTTCGCGACGTAGTACTGCGCGGTGCTGTATAGGCCGGAGCGGGTTTCACGCATGAAGAGGGGAAAGCCCTGGGGGAAGACGTTCAGCACGGAGTACATGGGATGGTAAGTGTTCTCCGATATCATGATGAAGAGTGTGCCCTGCAAGCAGACGAATGAGATGCAGTGCAGCAAAGGTGGCTGGGATTGGATTCGAACCCACCTGCACCGCCTGCACGCCCAGCTGCGTGAGCTCCGTGGTGCCCGCGAAGCAGGCGCCGATGATGATGGCCATGGCCATCTTTTGCAGAAAGCGCATCCATTGTATGGTGGGGTCGCGCAGCAGCGTCAACGTGGCACGCAGCCAGACCACGTGGAAGCGCTTGTACCAGGCGACGCCCCTGAAGGAGTCCAGTTCCGTGTCGTAAGGGAAGTTGCCCGTCTGTGCCATATGAATCTCCAGGTTGACCAACATATCGCGCTGCTTGGCCGCCGAGCTGACGGCGAACTGATCGCACAGGTGCTGGGCGGAGCGCTGGGAGGCCTGCTCATAGCCCGGATCCGTGGCCAGCACGCCAATAAGGAAGTCCGCCGGATTGTAGGCCTCCGGGCAGTAGTAGCCATGATCTGCAAAGAAGCTCAGCGCATGCTGCGGCGATCCTGTGAAGGCGACGCGGCCATCCGCCAGCAGCATCACGTTGTTGAAGTTATCGAAGAGCTGAGAGCTGGGCTGCAATAGCGACAGACAGGGGATGAGACATGAGAGAATGGAGCGGATGCCAGTGGCCAGTGGTTACCTGGTGAATGGTGCAGAGGATGGTGGTGCCCTTCTGGGCCAGCTCGTGCAGCGTGGCCACCAGCTGCTGAGCACTGTAGGAATCGAGTCCCGTGGTGGGCTCATCGCAGAAGAGAATGACCGGATTGTTGAGCAGCTCGACGGCAAAGGCCAGGCGCTTGCGCTCCCCGCCGGACAACACCTTCTCATCGTCGCCGCTGCCAATGCGCGTGTGGGAGGCGGACAGCAGCCCGGTGCGCTCCAGCAGCTCTTTGATGATCAGGCGACGCTCTTCGCTGGAAACGCGACGATCCAAGCGCAGATGGGCCTGCAGTCAAGAGAAGCTATATGAGTAGTTCAAGGGAATCAACAGAAGAAGCTCGCTCGCACCATAAAGTTGAGATGCTCGAGCACCGTGAGTGCACCTATGAAGAGATCATCCTGATAGACGTAGCCGCTGATGCGATGCATGAAGGGACCAACGCGCCGCCCATTGATAAGTATATCACCTTGAACCACAGTGCCAGCTAAAGGGAAGTAGTTCAAGCAGCGAGAGCTAGTGGGTGCTTATCTTATCGGCGCAGATAACTCACCTGGCTGCCTATAGCCCAGTGTTGACATTAGCGTCGTCTTGCCCGAGCCACTGTGAAAGAGAAAGAGTCGAGAGATGGGGCGAGATGAGATGAGGTGGAATGGGATGAGACGAGGCGTGATGCGTAGCCATTAAGAGTGGCGCGAAAATACAACTATTTTGTGGCCACTAAGCCCCGCGCTTATCAGTCAAAGATTAAGGCGCTAGCCATAACCCAGTTAGAGGAATTTTTTTCTGTCTGCACTCCACCACTCCACTCCACCGCAACGAGCATATATCGATTACAGTTAGGTGCGCTGAAGCGCAGCTTGAACTCGTCTCACCTGGCGCCCATTAGAGCCATCAGCGAACCGGGCTGCACCGCCCCCGTTGAGTTATTGATGATGCGCTTCATGCCACGCCCCGATCCAACATTTGTGTAAACACAGAGGTCCCTCCATACGAGCGTCGCCCCCTGCTCCACCGGCGACCATTTGCTGTAGCTGCGCAGCGGCAGGCTGCGCTCTGAACTGTTGCGCTTGGAGAGCTTCGGCGTGGTGTCTAAACTGGGATTATCACTGGAGGTGCCGTTGGCGTGCCCAATGCGCACCACCTGCAGCTCGTGCTGCTCCTGCTGCCTGCTGTCCGTATCTGACATCTCTTTTATCTCGCCTTTATTCTTAACAGCGTCCGCAGCTCACGTTGTGAATCGTTCGACAGCTGCTTCTGAACTGAACTCAAGCAAGTCGCTCTGCTACAGTTTGGCCATTGCGCCTACAGTCTGCACTCGTGAGTGTGGCTAGCCGCAGTTGATCTTTGTCAGGGTTAGCGCGGCTGGGCGTGGCAGCGGCAGCAACAAAATAATCTGCAGCTCAGGTTACCTCCAGGCCTTGGGAAGCCCAACAAGCCGTCATCCAGACAGGCGCTCAACCAGCAAAGGGGAAGAAACGGCGCATAGCAAATGCAGCGAAAATTGTTGGAAAATTAAAGAAAATTGCAATAAATTATTTTGCTCAGCACTGAAAGAAATCATATACTGATTTGAGTTTCATTTCTTACAAAAAAGAATTTTTTTTCATTATTAATTTTATTAGTTTTACACAACGACAGCAACGTAAGTTGCCGGCGCGCCCTAATGAATGAACAGATAATAAGCTC